GTCGTGAACGTGTTAAGAAAGGCCTGTTGAATATAACGAATTGATGGAAAACGACGAAAAACAAGTAGGAGAACGTTGACAAGCAAAATGTAGAAGATGAAACCAGCGAAAAAATGCGATAGAATAAACAAATATCTGCAGTATACACACATTAATCTGTTTTGATCGGTTATTGACTATCGCTACGATGACTCGCTTCCTCTATCTTAATATCGTTTATATTCATTTTTGAGTATTGGTGGAGCGTACATGTGAATTTAAGTAGTGTTCAGATGAGAATGCTTTTGGATCTTCTTTTCACTCACACTAACAGTTTTTGGAGATAATTGTAGAAATATTATTGACAATTTCTATCCAATCGTACGAAAAACGTTTTGCTCTGTTCTGTTTTTATAACGTTTATCGTAGTATATGGAGTATACTTGATACCATAGTTTACTAATGAAAATACAACATACTTTGCACATTATATTTTCAAGTACTTATATAAGTACTTGGCAGCTTGGTCTTGAAATCAATCGTATTTGACAATCATTAAGGTCAAAGCTTTTTTTCATAGAATTCATGTTTCTCTCCTCAATAACATGTTACTGGAAGCTCGTATGACAAATTTGTTCGAAAAGTGAAAATCTCCTAAATAAAGCATCATGTAGTCTCTATGAGTGAAAATCGGCTTCATTGCAAAAGAACTATTTTCTCACCGTAAATAATCCTCATTCAGAGCAATGAAATAACAAAAGACAACATATGTCAAAGTTTGCTGTTCTCGACTTTTTCGCAAGATCATACTGCTTAAATATTATGAAAAATCCATTCATATGACAAAATAAAATGCAATATAACACCCTCATAATATTTACATATAACTTTAATAAGTTTTCGAATAAGAAGAGCCTGATAATACTTTATCTTTTAAATTTTGAATCATCAATATCACATATATTTAAAAATCAATAATTTTATTTCTAATACAAATTATCATATTATTTGAAAAAGTTCTCATTCCGGCACAATATTCACTTGATTATGCATTGAAATTACATGATAATTCTCTATTTTGTTTACGAAGAAGACATGATCCAAATCAAACACAATCAATGCCCTCTATGATCTATTCACCGATTCAAAACTCTCATTCTGTAACACAAGTCGTGTTTTAACATTTTCTTATGGGAAAGAGTAAGCAGTCTTTCTTAACTATTTTTTTTTTCTAAAAGGATGTGTTCAGTGTATTGAGTGAGCGCACAGATGCAAAAAAGAGCTTCAACAATGAGTTAGAGGGTTTCCAAAAAACCTTCGATTTTCAGGTTTTTATGACTTTCAATGGTTTGTTTTTTTTCTTCAAACAAAACGATGACATATTCTGAATCAACGCAGAAAACTTCATGAAATGAGATTTAGTTTGTTCGTTTGTCAAGTAAAAGTATTTTAAGCAAAATCTTATGGAAAGAGTTCTTCTCAACAATTTCCCATTTAAATTGTTTTTTTCGCATTTCATAACAGGTCATTTTTTCTGAGTGATAGCAGCTGATATGATATTTCTATGGAAAAAAATAAGTTATATCTACATGCATTATTGAAATTCCTCATTGTGCAATATTATTAAAGAAATATAAATCAATGAACATTTCATATTGTCTCAATTTTCATTCACTTCATCATACTCACAAAAGAAAAAGTAACAAATCAAGCAACGTACACATTTGAAATGCTTCGTTATTGAGGAAAATGCAAATTTCTCACTTTTTTTCTTTTTCGCCCTTTTAGTTGCGAACAGACCAAATGAATCATTGGTTGTTGTTGTTGTTTTTCTTTTGAAGACAATCAAAAATACATCACAATATGCCCATGCATATATGTGAGGAAAAATAGATTGACTATGAAAGTTCATTACATATTTGTATATCGTAAAAATAAAAGATATTCGATTGAAAAAGACTCAACAAAGGTTTTTTCTATAATATTGCTAAATTGCAGAATATCATTTATTCAGATAAATCATTTCACATTCCATTGCTAAGAGATGATATTGTCGCAATGCTTGATCATATAATTAGACAGTAGTTTTTTTTCCGAATTAATCATATTTCTTAATCTGTCTATCATCATATCATTTATAGTTATTATAAATATGAAGATGCATTGAATGGAGACGATGAATATTCGTAATAGCTTCCGTTAAGATGTAATGTACGAGTATCTCAAAGTCAATATCCTTTACAAAATTCACTTCAAAATATTCCATATGAGGACAAAATTTAATGAGAAATTTCACTTGCAAAAGGTTCATCCATTGCCAGACTTTTCTAATTTTATTATTTTTACGAAGACTTTCTAACTGCTGAATAGCGAATTTATTCATTTTTAGACGCAACGAAGATGATACTTTCAATAAATCATATATTGAAAGTAATATACGACGTAAAATATCGATAAATGATGGTTTCCATTGGAGAGTCGAGTCATTTATCATAGAAAGTTCAATAGGTGAAGAAAATGGCATTGAAGAATCGTGAATTTTTTGTCGATTGAAATTCATCGTATGTTCTATCAATTCATAATCAATATTTTAATTAAAGTATGTAATGATTTTCGAATTATTGATAAACGTTAGTTCTGCTTTAAAAATAAAAATGAAAACTTTCACATAACAAATCTCTTGTTGTCTCAATACATATTTAAGTAATTCAAGATGATTGAATGTTGTATTAATGCTAAACATTTGCGAACATTTTACCATTGAATTTTGGACACCATAAATCAAGTGAAATAATACGTTTTTGATTGCGAGTAATTATGTTTTTTTCATAAATTTTTCTGTTTCAATGATGAATTTTTATCAAATAATATTTTCAATGGAAGGGATGAATAATTAAAAGAAGATTTTTAAGCATCTATTGAGATTTGAAAATAATTTATATTATATCACAACCTTCGAGATACTCAAAAATGTCATAAAAAATTTCGTTTCAAAGATGTTCGATAGAAGTTATTGAGTTAATATACAAAATAAAAGAAGCATCACACAATGATAAATTTACTTTGCTTTATCTTATACTTTTCTGCATGGCTTCTAGTTGATCATAAACAAAAGATAGAGAGAAGAAAATGAATGTAATATATAGTAAAACCTCTACTAGTGAGCAACTCGTTATTATGAGTGTTTTTAACAAGTCCGAAAAATCAATTTTTGCTGAAAATGGACCTCTCGAAAGCGAGCATCTCCTTATTATGAACGATTTTCAATAATTTCTATCATTAGTGGACCTACTGAGTTCAAGCTACTTGTGTACTAAGACAATTTTCAGCAAGATATCCGACAAGAGAACTTGTTACCAGTATGTCACTGGATCGTGGTTCGATACTTTTCAAGTTTCTATAGTATTGTATGAAAAGTTTTCAACATGTTAATCTGTTGAACATTATAAAGTGAAGAGCTAAAAATATCAGAAGTATTCTAAGGAATTGAACATCTATGTAAAACTGAAAAGGGTTTTAATGTCTAAAAACGACTAACTTTTTTTTCCACAAAAATTGGAAAAATTTAATACTGTCCCAATGCGCTAACTTTGTATATAACAGGCTTTATTTTTCTCTGTAGTCAAAATATTCTCTGTTTAGCCTGGTGAAACATCACATTATGCATTCAATTGTACAAAGATAAGAATATTCAAGATTCTAAGTCTTCACTATAAATGCGAGAAAATAAAATAACAGTTATTTAGAATAATACCGTTTAGAATTCCCAAAGCATATTCTTACTTGTATAATACTTTAAATTTTTGGTTAAGATGTTTCGCGCAATTAAGTTTATGGATGTGACAAGCCATGCTATTGGTTTATTAACTAGATAAGTATACATAGAAAATTTGAAATAATACACAACTAAAAATATGCTTTGGAGAAATTCTAAACGACATTATTCTAAATAACTGTTATTTTATTTTCTCACATTTATGGCGAACGCTAATAATCCTGAACATTCTGATTTCTGTACAATTGAATGCATAATGTGATTTCGTAGAAAGTTAACCCTTTACCCCCCGGCACTAATCCAGCGGAGCTGTTGTTGAGTCGACTATGGAAATAGCTTATATCAGTGCTCAATATGACATTGGTAGGGTTAAATTTGAACGAAGTCATTTCACTGTAGAGATGTAGAAAGGGTCATTTTTGACCCCTCCGGGTTGAATGACATAAAAATCGGATTTTTTGTTGATCTGATTTTTTCATAGTTTTTCACAATTTTGTGTTTATTTTATTTGTATAAAGCTGGAAACATATCTATCATGAATTTTTTTTTGAAAAATATGTCATAATGGAGATAACATATGGTTAGACATCGGTAAAAATGACTGTTTTGGGCTGTGATTAGGTCTTTTATTTCGAGCGTATCGGAATCGTTAGTAATCATTTTCTTTTCGTAATACGGAATCATCGGTCCTGATTGTGCTTCGAAATCTGTCATTCCTATGATTTTGGTCTGGTCCAAAAGGAAGGTAATAACAAAAACTACGGATTTTTACCCTTTAATCGATAAAAAGTTATTCAAAAACGGCCACGGATTGCTTTTTTTTGCTGCTTGTTAGTTCTATGAAAGTTTTAGGCATGATTATTGCTAATTCATAGTTTAAAATGAAAACAAAACAACTATGGAAAAACCATTTTTTATGTCGCCCACTACCAATGGGTCAAAAATGACCCAAGTTGTCCTGAAGGACGCTGTTCCCACATCGCTAAACAAGAAATTTTCAAACGCTTGCCAGCAAATAGATGACACCTATAACATTATATATCAACTGCCTAAACGGAAAAATAATTCATCTGTGCAGTTAAAAAAACAAAAACATTAGAAATCAGATTTTTTCACTTTTTTGAAAATTCATCATTTTCAGGCTCAAATATCTCAGTGAAGGAGTGATGAACAAAACATTATTTTTTTACCAATCGATAGCCCATGGAGTTCCCTACAAATATTGTCTTGTGAGTTTTTGAATACCATGCTTTCTTTATTCGCTGCAAACTTTCTACGAATGGGTCAAAAATGGCCCAAAGGTGGGGGGGAGGGGGGTAAAGGGTTAATCAGAGAATTTAAAGACTAACGCGCATCTCTATGCAATTAAAGGAAAAAGAAAGTAATTATATAGTAGACATATTATTATATTAGATCCAATGTATAGCTTACTACACTAATTTTCCAGTCAACATTAAAGAAAAATCAGTTGATAAAAAAAGGTTTGAGATTCATGTAAAACTGAAGATTTATTATCATTTGACTAATTTATATCGAATAACAAACATCTATCTCTTTCTATACTTAATGGACAAACTACTCATTGGAAATAAACAGTATATGTTTAACACAATTTGAATATCTTTATCTTTATAACTGACTATGAGATAAAAATAAAATAGCTTTCGCATTTGACAATAAAGATTCATTCTTTTCTACCATTATGAACTGACTAGTTCATGGAAGAAAAAAAAACTCATATTTATTAAATATAAAATACCTATTTTATGTACAGAATTCAGCACCTAATGAAAAAAGAATGGATATATTTATATATATGCAAAACAAAGAGAATTTATCTATTATCATTAGGAATTCATTACTACTTGAAGAGTAACATCTCTGCGTTAAGAAATGTACGGATGATGGAAGAAAAAAAAAATAGTACATATATTTTAATCAGAGGTATATGTTTTTTTCTACTCCTACTAATGAACTATTAGAAAAAGAAAGAATTTCGCTAAGTAATAAATCTCTGTCTCAAATATAAAAAAAATTACATTTTTCTAAAAACAAGCGACATCTAACATTCTATTGTCACGAATTAACTGCATAAAAGATCCATACAATGGTAGTGTAAAAAGTACTTTGTCTCTGTATCCTTACACATCGACAAGTCAATAACAGAGAAAAAATATCTATACTAAAGCATATCCCTGTCAGTGTTTCTAACAGCAAGGATCCACCATGATCGCAAAGTATCCAAGATCCTTACGATGTTTGATTGACACTCTATTTTACCCTCTGCTCATAAAAAACAAGATGTCTTACGTACACGTTGTGAGAGTTATTTACACTTTGCTTTTTCATTGTATGAAGACTTCGAACTCCATAATTTTTTTATTACTAGAGATATATTTCATTCTCTGACATCTTCAGACTAATCGTGTCATTCGTTAAAACGTTTTTCTCTATTTTTAATTGTTGTTGTTTTTTTTTGCTGTTGTCGTCGTTCATATGTTTGTTACGGAGTATTCGACAATCTGTGTGTATTATTTCTTTAGAATGATTGATTTAAAACAGAATTTACAAGGAATGACACTGTTTTTTATTTCTTCTGCAAATAGTTATGACTCATAACTTATGATTCTTTTCTTTTTAGATCAGATGAACAAAAAACAAATCGAATTGATTGAACTTTGCGATAGAAGTTAAAAATCACCAACAAGTATTTTATTGTCTGAAAATCAACAACAAAGTTCTTCTTCATCATCTCCATCCACACCCATTCCTTCATGTATTCTTGATGAACCAACAACAGAAATTGAAATTATTTCACGCCAGTTTTTATGTTCATTATCAAATATTCCTCGTAATCAACAACTTTCATCCTCTACTGAACATGAAACTAGTAACAAGTCAAAGTTGATAAAAAAATCGAATTCTTTATGTCGTCGTAAATATCTTTCTGCTTGGGAAAAACAACCTGAAGCTATGTATAAAACTTATATGTTTGATCAATTTGATAAAAGAAGTGAAAAATTGTTGTCCTGGTTGTATTTGAAAGACGATATGATGCGTTGTAGTTTATGTGAAAAATATGACAAAAGAAGAAATACAAACGGTGCGTGAAATATTGATACATTTCATAGAAGTTCTTTGTATGTTTTAGGAAAAGAAAACATTTGGTGTACTACAGGTAATGGAACATTTTTACTTGATAAGATAAAGCAGCACAAGGACAATGACGTTCATCAACAAGCTGAAGAAATCGAATTGAAAATATCATCTCGAACACAACCATCTTGGACGGAAACACAAGCAAAACAAATTTCAAAACAGGAACAAGCAGTTCAAAACCTGATGCTCGCCTCAATTTATATTTGTCGTCAATATCAATCCTTGAATAGTTTGGAAGAATTGTGTATTTTACTTGAAAAACTTGGTGTTCAATTATTACCTTCGGTAATATCTGGTGTGAATTATCGGAACAACGATGCTGCTTTTTCCTTTCTTCAACATGTTGCATTTTATTTGCACAAAGAATTGGTCGAGAAAGTAAAAGCTAGTACTGTAATAGGTTTGTGGATCTTCTTCTGTTGATACAAATCTTTGATTGATTTTTATTTTTATTCTTTGTAGCATGGATGATGGATGAGTCAACGTCGAGAACAGTGGAAAAAAGTTGTATTGTTTATGTTCGGTATCTTGAAAATAATCAGCCAAAAACATCGTTTTATTCTTTACTTGATATGGAAGGTGATGGAACTGCTGAGAACATAGTCAAAACAATCAGCAGTCTCTGGCAAACAGATGATTTGGATCCAGCTAACACATGCTGGTTTGCAAGTGACAATGCATCGACATTCACAGGTACTTTTGAATTTTTATAAATAACGAGATTCTGACAAAACTCTACTTATTTAATTGCAGGAATACATGAAGGTGTGGTAGCAAAACTACGACGCCGTTTCCGAATAGATTGGCTTGAATCCAACACTTGTGCTGCACATTCATTTAACTTGGTTGGTAATGGAGCATCGTGGACAATTGATCCTAGTAATATTTTAAATTTTCCTCGAGGTAGTAGCTTAATTGTTTTATTTCCAATTTTGTATTGTAGATACTGGTAAATCAGTTATCGTTGAAATTGTTTCGAATTTAGAAACAACAATTGGAAAGATTTATAATTACTTTGGAAGAAGTTCAAATCGTCAACAAAAGTTAAAAGATTGGCAAAATTTCTTAGATATGCCGGAATTAAAATTCAAGCGAATTTACGATATCCGTTGTTCTTCTATACAAGGGTGTATCAAACCTATTATTCAAAATGTGCAGCCAAGTAATTAAGATTTTATTGATTCTTATATAACGCCTTGATGAAATTCCTGTCTTCTAGATAATCAGGCACTTCTAGCAACCCTCGAACAGAACGCATGTGGTCCAATTTGTTCACAGGCAGATCGTGATGCAACAAAGGAATTATTTCAATGTGTATTAGATGATGAATTTCTATTCCTGCTTCATTTCCATCACGACCTTCACGAGTGTGCTCTTGGTAAATAAAATTAAACTATTCAGCTTCTATTTTTTATCATCTTGTACTTTAGGGCCAATTACAAAACTAATGCAATTCGACAAGGTATCGTACTACTGTCTTATGAAAGAAATAGATGAAAAAAAATGTTTAATATCACAATGGATATCTCAATCAACACCAACATGGGGACCAACATTAGCTGATTATATAAAAACAACAAGAAATGGAACGTATGGAGCTTTCAAAATCAACCTATGCAACCGACAAAAATTAACCCAAGAATGCTTAGCACACATTCAACGTTTGCTCGAAGAACTCGACAAACGATTTGCTCCATCACCAATATTAGAGTGTATGACTCTTTTGTTTGATCCACGATACCTGATCGAACACAAGAAAGATATTGATTGTCCAACTTATGGTCGACAAGAATTGGATTTTATTCGAAATAAATATAAAGATCTTCTTGGATTTGATTTCTATGCTGTTCAAAATGAATGGGAATTATTGAAACGATCATTAAGTCATTTTTTGGGCAGGTCCTCAGCTACTGATCTACAAGAAACATTTTGGCAACAATTTTTATTGTTACAGCAATCAATAAACAGCCAATTTCTCTCGGAAAACAAGAATATACTTTTTTTATTGAATATTTATTTAATATCACCAACAAACAGTGCCGAGTGTGAGAGAGGAGTAAGTTGCAAATCCGATTTTCTCTTCAACAATATATTTCTATTAATCTCTGTAATTTAGTTTTCGGTAGCCAATCGAATTCAAACGACTGGTCGTTCACGTATAATGATTTCCACTTTGAACGTACTTATGAATATTTGTTTGTTATTACCGGACGATCTGCGAAGGTAAGATTGGTGATTTCTGTTATTCAAGAGAAGATAATTTCGCTCTACCTTTTTACATTTAGTGCAAGATGCCAACAGGTGATGGAAAAAGGTTTTGAGTCTTGGAATGATAATAAAAGTAATCGCCGTTTTCGTCAAATGAAGTTAGTGCTTGATATACCATCCGATTACGAACCAAAAAAGTTGACTCGACCGAATTGTTCCAAAAGAAAACGGTTATCAATATCATCCCAGTCGATTAACAAGAAACCAAAAAATCCTAAATCAAAAGCCATACGATGTGAGTTTTTTTATGTGTGTTTAGTTATCAAAACTTAATTTTCTTTCTCTGTTTTAGGCGCAAATGGTTGTAAAACAGAAATTGCAGCAAATGATCCAACACAATATAATGCAATCCAATGCTGCCACCAAAGAGATGAATTCGATTGGGTTGATGCATTTGAAAATTGTTCCAGATGGTTGTGTAACAGATGCAGGATCAAGCTTGGTATATCAACAGATTCTATGTGGTTCTGCACTGATCACGACGATATGCACAGTGAAGAAGAATGTGAAGATGAAGATGTTAGCAATTAATTAAATATAAAATTGTTTTTTTTTTCGGTAAATAGTATTTATTGTTTGATTGTTTTTTATGTTTTTTTGTGACTCATGTATGAAATATCAGATAGACAATTCGTTTATCTAATGTGATCAGATACTATTATTTATATATTTTTGATTTGTACTTAACTTAATATTAATACATATACATGAAAAATTTCGTTTTTTTTAATTTAACTCAAACAATCCACACATTGGAAACTTTGTGACATGTTGTTTGAAAAAACAGGGTGTCATCTTGTACTCTGATTGTGAAAACACAGTGTAAGTGGACCTTTTATTTTAGATTTCTGTTAGAAACGCTGATCCCTGTGCCCTCAATGAAACAGAAGTGATCTACTTAAAAAATCAGACTCATGATAGAAAGTTCGTTTTTTTTTATACTGAACGTCCAAGATGCCGAAAAAGAACGATATGGATTGTCATTCAAAACAAACTAAATATATTTGGTTTCTCATTTTATAAATTGAATTTATCAATGCAACAGTACTTCTGTCTACAAAAAGAATTCAACATTTCATACCTAATATAAAAGGATACTTTTTTCAATTATTACAACAGTAAAATGACAAATGGTTTTATGTAACAATTAAACACATGAAAATGTAATTATATTATGAAATAGTCATCAGTAGAGTGTTTAACAGATATTTTGTCTTTATTATCTCATCTAAACTTGCATAACATATCAGAGATTCGCCTAGCTTCTAAATCATGTTATAATCGAATGACTCATACCTGTCATTCTTTTTGTTTTTTGTTCGCAATCTTACATTATATTTTGCAAGTACGAAAATACGTTTTCATTAAAGAATAAATATATTTCGTTGGATTTTTTCTTTCTTTATGATTTTTTGTCACCTTTTCGAATCTTTGTTTGGTTCTGTTGGTTTTTTCTTTAGGGTATTTTTTTCAAACAAAGTCCACGTTTTTTTTCCCTCTATGCATTCAACATCGTAGCTATCTACAGACATTTCATTTTCTTCGATTTAGTAAAAATCAATTATGGCCGCTCAAAATGAAGTTAAAAGTGAATGGTATACAACTCTTTGTGGTGAATGTACATATACGTTACCTGTAAGATATCAGGAATTAGCACGTATCGGACAAGGTGGTTATGGAGCCGTCATGCAAGTTGAAATATCGATTTTTATTTTATTTTTCTAATTATTGAATTTTGTTTTTTTTAGTCGTGCTAAAGATACAGTATGTTTTATTGTGAACATGATTAAAAAATAGGAATATATTGCAATTTAGAAAACAGGTCAATATGTAGCTATTAAAAAATTGCTTCGACCTTTTCAAACTCCTATACATGCAATACGAACTTATCGAGAACTTAAACTACTCATCTGTCTCAACCATCGTGATGCAGACGTATGTAAAAAAAATATTCTCTGTATTACTGTGAATTTGTTTGCTTTTTTTTCTATTCTAGGTTATACAATTATATGATGTATTTACACCCGAGGAAAATCTGAAAGATTTTAAAACTGTGTATGCTGTAAAAATACCAGTATTTAATGAAGATGTTCATATTTTTTCTTGTTTTACAGATATTTTGTCTTTAACTATGTTGATTCTACCTTGCAGAAAGTTATTAAACGTCGCAATCCAATACCAGAAGATCTTATTAAACAAATTATCTATGGACTTCTTCGTGGTTTGAAAGTATTTATAAGTTCTGTTACAAATATGTAATTAATGCAAACTTTTTCTTTTTTCTTTCTTGTCTAGTTTATTCATTCAGCTGGTATTATCCATCGTGTATGTGAAATAAAAATATTTTTCCATGCTAAATATTGTTGATTGTTTTGTTAAAATAGGATATGAAGCCAGCAAATATTGGCATAGATAAAGAGTTAAATATTGCGGTAAGTATTGTATCTATGTAAAAACTAAAGTATTAAATTTAGTTCAAGTTTCACTTATTATTACTACTAAATTAAAATAAATATCGGAATTACTAATAAGTAAATGTTTTATAGTTTCTGTTTTATATGTATACAATTAATTTTCCTTGTTTGTCATCTAAGATATATTTAATATTCGAAAGTTTTTTTTTTTTCGATTACCATCAGTTGACTTATTATTTCGATAGATTGAGAGATCGTGGTCTCACATGAAGGGAAAGCCATCTTGAAAAGCTACAGAAGAAAATTTTGTTAAAGGTAAACAAATGTTTACTATTGTTATTCTGTTTCATGGTAAATTTGTAATTATAATTCGATATATTATTACAAAAAGAACAAAGTTTCGGTCATCAAGGAGCGACTATTGAATTCTTTAGCGCACATAGAATGTTGCATATCAACCGAAGTTTTTAAAAAAAAAGAGACAAATGAAGATAAGAAAAACACTAATCTTCCCTGAATGTGTTTTTTTACTGCGTTGCAATGGACAATATTTATGCAGATTGACGCGAGTTTGCTTTTCTCGGATTATGGATCAATAGTTCATAGTTCGTTTCTCGACGATAGGAACTCAGAAAATGCTGATTGCTTTTTTTTCTCATGAGATATCTGTTTGTCGATAATCGGTATTCAACCGTATTTCGTTATCGAATCAAACTCGAATGTCATATAATGTTAATAGAAATTATTATTCATTATATCTTTTGCTATTATTTTGCAGATTCTTGATTTTGGTCTATCTCGTGTTGCATCGGATAGTTATCAAACTGGTTATGTTGCTACCAGGTATGTCAACGTTCATATTTTTATTTTATAAACATTACGAAAAATTTTCTTGTTAGATGGTGGCGTGCACCAGAAGTAATTATAAACTGGGAACGATACAATGAAAAGATTGATATATGGTCTGTGGGCTGTATAATGGCTGAATTAATACTACTTAAACCAATTTTTCCTGGAAAAGATCATATTGATCAGTTACATAGAATATTGGACGTAACCGGTACACCAGACATACAAACATTAAATGAAATATGCACATCAGGTTTGTATAAAAGGTTCAAATGAAAAATTATGTTCTTCATTCACATTGAATTTCAAGATTTTTTCAATTTTTTTTCGGTTGATATTTCTTACATTTAACTCTTATAATGCAATATAATCGATAGTATATATAATCAAATTTTAGAGCCACGATCTTATATTAGTCGAATGACACCTAAGAAAAAACAAGATTTTAATCAATTGTTCGGTTTTCAATATGATTCAACAGGAGAAACACCAATATCTGGTGTTTCACCACAAGGTAAATTTCAAATAAAAGAAGTGAGAATAAAAATTAATTTCATTCCATTTTGTTTTTTGATAACAGGTATTGATTTGCTTGATCATCTTCTATCTTTTGATCATCGTGTACGTCCAACTGCGGAGGAAGCACTTAGTAAATCATCATAATCCCTTAGTATTCTGATTTGTACGTCATATTTGTACTTTAGCTCATCCATTTCTGCATCAACATCATAATCTAACAGAGGAACCAACTATGACACCTATAGTTGACGAGCATGAAAATAGACAATATTCTGTAGAACAGTGGAAATGTAAGTTATTTGAATAAAGAATTCATTACTGTTAATCATTTTGTTTTGTTCTGATAAAATACATTGAATAATAAAAACAAAAAGAATAGATAATGTTAAATATTATTCTTCTAACAGTATTTATTATATAGATTAGATGTTGAGAATGATGACTTTATTTATATCTATTTCAAATGTTTATTGTTTTTTTTTAAGCTATCGTTTGGCAAATGGTTAAAGACTTTGTACCACCACCTTGGAGTAATGATGTTCTTGATGAAGATTCATGAAATAAAACTATGAATAACAAAGAATATTATTATTTAGTTTAAAGATATAACTTGTTAATATATTTTCATGAATAAATTTTTTAGACTTTGAATGTAGTTTTTTTATTGTTGTGCTTTCAAATTAAATTGTGATATTTTTTTTTCAATACAGAATTCAATTCAAAAGTTGAAAATGGATAAAACAGAATTGTTGTTATAGTAGAAGAAACTTTTTATTTTCGAAATATTTGTCTGTTTATCGATTCCAATGGATATATTAATATTAATATGATTTTTGTTGCAGTTTTAACACTTTCAATTGTTTCGAATAAATTTATAATATAGAAAAGAATAAAGAAAAATAAGTAATAAAGTAATACTGCTGATGAACTGTTTATAGTATAGAAAAGAAATATTTCGACATGGGTATCTAACTCAACATTTGGAATAAAGTTTTTTTTTTTTTTTAAATAACTTTCGGTGATGTGAGTCAGGCTGACAATGCTAAATAATGCCTTTAATCATTTTCGTAAAGATGATTGAAATAATAATAATAATAATTCAAAGAGCTACAATTGATAATTTTTGTTCGTTTTATGATTTCATGTATCAAATATGTACACGATCATGATTTTTTTTTATCAGTAAAAATATAAACATGCATGTTCATAATAATTTAAGCGAGCCTTTTAATACTGTCAATCGTTTAATAGTTAAGAATGAAAATAGCATCGAAATCAAACATTGAATACCAGTATCTTTCCGTTGATAATCTTTAGGTTTTATAATCATGTGGAGTTACTACTGAATTAGAACAACGATTGCGCGTCTCACTGCTGCGAATTTCAAAGTGATTATTTTTTTGAAGATCCTGAATTTATACTCGTGTGCTAGGGCAGTGCTTCAATAAAGTATCCTGATGAGAGTTGTCTCTGTGTATGAATACTCTTCAGATATTCTTTCGAGTACTTGTCTAGTTTTTATAGTATAGTACAAAAACAAAGTTTCTACAAGTTATGTTGCATGCTGGTGGGAGGATACGCTTTTGCTTATTTTGACTTCAGTACATACACTATGGCATAGTCCATTTTATCAATACTAGTTCATACCGTGTTTGAGAAGCATACTTATGCCAATTGGAATTATGACGTATTCTGTCAGTTTAATAAAACTAGGTCATATGGTAACGGGTGAATCGAAACTTTTGAGACAAAATGTTTGCTCATTTTTCGCCCACTTGAAAGTATTTCAGACGAGTCGAAACCTATGGGTTAGAAAGACAATTTTGTGCTCTTCCTGAATATGGACTTAGAAATTTTGTATATGTTTTTATTCAAGAGCACTAAAGAAATCTTTGAAGGTCTTACAAACTAATTTGGATGACACATAAACAGATTATTCCTAATCCATATATGTCCCCTAGTGAAGATATTAAAAATTATCGAACACGGCACTTTTGTAGAGCAAACACTTCTTTAGAAAATGTGATATCGAACTAAGTTATAGCTTTTGCACAAGTGAAATTATATGCATTTTGTCAGAAGCTCCTGTTTATGTAAAACATCTTTTGATGAAAAAGTTGATTTTTCAAATATGAGGCTGTAGGAAAAACGAACACTGAAGTGTCTTACCTAACGACCACAAAAACCTCAAATAGTACATGTTGTAGGGCAGATTTTTCTCCACCAGCTGATAGAGTAATAAAGGTTCTAACTTTAAGTTTCGAATCACAATAGTTAAAATATTAAAAAAAATGTGAAAAAATTTTTTGTCTAAACTAATTTTTCAGGTCTTTCAAAGATTCCTTCATTACTCTTGAACAAAAACTGACACGAAATTTCTAAACTCATATTCAGAAAGAGCACAAAATTCTCGTTCTAATCCATAGGTTTCAACTCGTCTGAAATACTTTCAAGTTGGCCGAAAATGAGCAAACATTTTGTCTCAAAATTTTTGATCCACACGTTATTTGTATATTTTTTTGGTTTTGATGATCGAGTTTTATCATAATCAGAGTTTGTAATTTTTATATTTTGCTCTCGAATGGAGCCGAATTGATTATTTTTTTATCTATGCATTGTAACAACCCAACAAACGTGTAGTGTGTTATGTATCCTCAATGAAAATCATCAGAATGTTCTTCTCTATCTATTATTCATCTCTCTATCTCGTTCTTCTGTTATATGTACTTTGCAAGGACAATATTAATTTGTCCTCTTTCTATACATATTGTTATTCTTTTCTGTTTGTACTTTGAAATATCATGAGTGTTGTGTCCCTCTCTTACACAGCGTGTTACTCTTTTTCCGTTCTTTATGTTTATCTCATTCTATACGTACTTTGGAATAACATTACATTAGTGTTGTCCAGAGTATCTTTCTCTTCTGTTTGTACTTAGAAACAACATGATCATTGTATCCTGCTCTCGACCAAAACGTTACCACAGCTAAAACTTTATCCTTCCCAGAATTTGTCCTTACACACCATAACTTTCTTGTTATTGTGTTTACTGTATTGCAAAGGTCGTTATATGCTAAGAAATAGTACATAAGGAACGAGAAGAATACAGTATGATACGATTCTTGATATCTTAATAAAGTGTTCGTTGAATAACTCTTATACAACGTCTACTACATCAGAAATCATCACATGCATAATATCTAAATACGGAAGAAAACTCATAATTTGTTGTCAAAATTTAACTCCTTGTGACTTTAAAAATGGTTGAAGCCTATAAGCTGATATTATTTTTTTTTATTCTTGTGCAAACGTCTTATTATCATATTCTATTCTTTGTAGCACAACTTCAGCAAGAAAATGTAATATGTTGACATAAGGTCTTAAAAGGAGTGTAACTTACCGTTGTCATTGTATGTCGATTTAAGAAAAAAATACATACGTCATTTGTTACACTTTTTTGCAACGTCATGGTTTGCTAAGAGTATATAAAAGGCGTGACATGTTTATTATGTTGATTTTTCAAACATATAAATACACATGGACAATTTATCGATGAATAATTATCATTCTTGAACAATAAATGGATCATTTATCGAAATTTTCAAATGAAAACATTGGATCGGATATAACATACTGGCATGAAAAATTCAATCGAATATGGAAACGAAGTGATTGGATATTTTCCATGCTACGTTCTACAGATGATTATTATAAACAGCCGATTAAACTTCGATTACCATTGATATTTTATCTTGGTCATTTACCATGTTTTACTTGGGCACAATTTCATCATTTGAATAATGTCAATGATATTATTGATCAAAAATTTGATAAAATTTTTGTACGTGGTGTCGATCCAGATGTTGAAACAAGTATTGTTAAACATAGTCATTCGAGTCAATTCTCGACTGATACCAAAATTGAAGAAGAATATTGGCGATCATTTACTGTTCAAAGTGTGATTGATTATAAGAATAATGTTCGAATAAAATTGATCAATATTTTGTCAAATGGTCATCTAGATTTCAATGACATAAAAACATTAAATATACTCAATATTAGTGCAGAACAAGAAATGTTACATCAAGAAACATTAATGCACTTATTTGTAAAATTACCAATAGAATCACTACAATTAAATTCTATTAATGAATATGATTTTTTTCAACGTAATCCTATTTCTTCATTATCAAATAATACATGGATAATGTTTCCAGGTGGACAAACATCACTTGGTAAACCACATAGTGATGATATATCAACATTTACTTTTGGTTGGGATAATGAATTTCCCTGTGAATCTGTTTATGTATCAGTTTTTGAAATGCAATCACATCCAATTCGTAATGGAGATTTTCTTCAATTTATTCTTGACAATGGTTATACAACAAGTGATTGGTGGGATAAAAATGTTTTTACTTGGATAACACAATCGAATATACGTCATCCTTCAACATGGACAATACATGAAAATTCTTATCAAGTCAATTTTGTCTTACAACGTAATATTCCGCTTGAATTTGTATTTGATCATCCTGTTCTTGTAAGTCAAGTAGAAGCAAAAGCATATTGTCGATGGATATCAACAAAAACTGGTGAAGAAATTGAATTACCGACTGAAGCTGAATGGATACATGCATTATGGGATTTATCAAATTGTATACGTTCGGCTCTGACAACAAATAATTGTAATATTAATTTTCATCATCTTCATACGCTACCTGTATGTTCGAATAATAATGAAAAATTACAATGGCAAGGATCGGCATTTGAATGGACGTCAAGTATTTTTCGACCATTTTCAGGTTATCGAAGTGCTCTACCAACATATCCTGGATATTCTGCTGACTTTTTTGATAATCATCATTTTGTTCTATTGGGTGGATCATTTGCAACTGATTCAACATTGATACGAAGAACATTTCGTAATTGGTATCAAGATAGATATCAATATGCCTTTGCTACATTTCGATGTGTAAAACGTGTCAATCACATTGATAGTAAACTTACTAAAATTGATCATGATGATATTGTTGCTGCATTAAGCAATACAGAACATCGTCGAATAGCTTCAAAATATTTTTATGATGCTCAAGGTTCATCTATTTATACACAAATAACTCAATTAGATGAATATTATCCATTTGCACAAGAATTAAAACTTTTATGTCAACGAGCAAATGATATTAAATCAACAATTATTCATCATTCGAACATTCTAAATAATTCATCATCAACAATACATTTTATTGAACTTGGTTGTGGTGATGGAAAAAAAGTTGAAACATGGTTAACACCATGGATTACTTCATCTGATGATATATCATTTGTATATCATCCAGTTGATATATCTCAACATGCTATTGATTCGCTTGTTCAACTTCTTAAGAAAACTTTTAATGAAAATACTATTGAAAAACATGTCAAGCCAATATGTTCAACATTTGAGAATATGTACACAAAGATAAATACTGATATAATGGGAATACAAGTTGTAATGTTAATGGGCAGTACAATTGGTAATTTTTCATCTTATGATCGAAACCATGTCAAATATGGTGAAGATGCACCAGTTATGCAATTACTTCGATTGATACGTCAAAATTTACGTATTGGTGATTGGTTTATATGTGCATTTGATATGTGTAAGGATACAGCCACAATGATTCGAGCTTATAATGATTCAAAAGGTGTTACTGCAGCATTCAATATTAATCTTCTTGCTCGTCTTAATCGTGAACTTAACTTTAATTTCAATTTGAATAATTATCAACATTATGCCTTATACAATCCATTATATAGACAAATGGAAAGTTGGTTGCTTTGTCTTAATCATGAAACAGTAACTGATCAACAAGGTTTTACTATGAATTTGCAACCATATGATGCTATACATACAGAATTATCTACTAAATATACACGAGAAGATATTGAATCATTAATGGAGAAAAATTCGATGAAAATTATTGAATGTTTTATTACTGATAATCATCGATTTCCATATTGTTTATGTATGGCACAAATGATATAATTCAATTTATTTCCCAAGAGACAATTTATAATTTTTGACTTAACTTTAAAATTGTATTATTGTTCGTTAAAAATAAATTGAAACTAATATATAATTCGATCATGTGAAAAAATATAGTCGATACTTTATATTGTATTTAGATTTCATTAAAAAAATAACAGAAGAATATTGACACTTATTCAGTGTAAGTCTCACAATGTTTTCATATTCTTCGATTTTTTTTTGAAGTAATTACGATGTGAATGATTTATTTCAAGTGTATATTCTCATTGAGATTCGACTGAAAGATACTGAAAAAATGACTATCATTATCATTTCTCTTGATTATATTTTCAACAGAATAGGTTTATGCAAATTTTCTTTGGCATGTACTTGTGCATAATGAAATCTCATGAGCAATGTTTTCAAAAAAAAAAAATTAACAGATGTATGTGATATGCCTTTTATAATCAAATTACAATTGATCATGAGCTCACCCAATTTAGAATGATATGTGAATGTAAACAGGAATAATATTTTTACTTCCGTTAAAAATAATATTTGTTTTCCAAACAAGATCTCTCTGACATATGATGCCCTCAAGTTGGATATGTCTAATATTTTATCACATACAATGCTATTGTCTCACTTAGACAAATCTCAAGTAGCAAACAGAGTAGATGAGAGTGTGAGTAGGTGATTTTTTAAGTTATACAGCGAATCTACTATTGAAAAATGAAATGATATCAATAACACTATATAATATGTCATAAAACAGCAAATAACATTTTGTAGAAACTTATGATAAGTTCTGGTAGAGATACAGAATCTGCCGTTAAAATAAAAACTTCCTTCAAATGCAGATAAATTCTTGAACAAATTTCTCCTGCTAATAAAAATAAAGAAAATGCTAGATTCTCTTTTTCACCCGCATATTCAAAGAAAATGAAGAAGAAATCAGTTAAATTAACACACCAAAAGATCATAGAAAGAAACTAATCTTCATTAATAAGCAGTTCATAAAAGTAGTTTTCACCTGAAAAAGTCAAAGATTGTGCGGTTAAATAAAAGAAGAAACTGTTTCGACACTTTGTATCACTACTCCTGAAGTCAATCAATAAATAGGGTTAAGCAAGAGAAATTGAGTGATGTTACTAATTATTGCTGAATATAAATCTAAGCGAGTAACTTGATAAAGATTGGAGATAATAGAAAAACCAACATCGTTCGGAAATTCATTCGTTGATTAATGCCCAGTGAAATCAAAGACTCTTCACATGTCGATACGCAAATATGACCGTATTTATGTAACCATTTCAATTCTTCTCGAATTTTGATTTTTTCATGTCACAGATTTCCATCAATATTATGATCTTCATTGGGAAGACGATCAATTTATGTGGAACATCAAGCGAATAAGGGTGTGGGTGGGTGTGGGTGTTATATGGGGAAAATAACAGTACTCACACCCACGCCCACACCAATAACTGTATATAATATGGAATCATTGTTGAATCATTTCAAATTCCGTTCAATAGCTTGATTGTTCGCCAATTGGATTGGAATGAGTGATGAATGATTGATCAAGTCGAACGAATAGATATCATAGTCTCTCATGGATTCAATCTGTCGTCATCTTGATTCAGTCGAGAAAACGAGACGTTTACCATCTGTTGAACAGATCAACTCGGCTACTCGTAATGAAATATTCGTCACAATTTCGATTCGAGCTTGGGCCAAATCTTTAAAGTTAAGACGATAGACCGTGTCACCTCCCTTTTTGTCTCTGTGTTCAATGACATCTTTCCATTCATTCTTGTAGACATATTCAGATTCGTTGGTCCATGAAGTTCGTGTTGCAAAATAGAGGCTAGTATTGGTATTCGACCAAGTGAATGCATGAATAGGTTCTTTGCCTAATGCAAGAGAAACTGTTTGTTGGGTTTGAGTTAAATAAAGTGTTGTTGTTCATAATCATCTACTTTCTTCAACCTATCTTCGACGATATATGCAATCCATTCATTTTGCCAGAGAAGTTTCGATCAACCTGTCGTATGTCGAGTTATTGAGTTTTTATTTGTGCCATTTAATGAGTGAAGATGAAGATGGTATTCATTGATATTTTGATCCCATATACGATGTTTCGTTTGAATGAGAATCAATGGATCGTTGTTGGGCGCCAAAGTCAACGATAAAAATTCGGTATTGTTGAAAAATTCATTCACTGTTATGTTAGACTTTGAAAATGAGCTACGACTATTCAGAAGGAAAATTAAAACAAAACCAAGATATTCTATCGACCTCATTGATCTTCGTCTGAAACAAAATTGAAAGCATGAACACATTTTTCAATAAATTGATATCTCTGTGCTCTTTGCACTAAATTTTTTGTATTTTATGTTGCAATTCATAGATATGACAGGGCTCGTTCAAGCACATGTGTTACAATTATTGATTGCTTTCCTTCAATTCATGCGTGATCGCTTAATTGGCAACTGGTCTTGTCGATATTTCTTACCATTGGCATTCATGATCACTCATCAATATCTAAGGACTTATACACGAGGTATATGCAGGTTTCCTAAGAAAACAATTATGAAAATCACATGACCACACGTACAGTTATACTTATAAGAAGACTCGCCTTTAAACAGTTTTAAAAATTCATTTCGAAAAATTCCTTATACATTTCTGTCCATAACTAAAAAAAAACACCACATTTCGTATTGCGGCGACACAAGTTATGCACTGCCTCACAGTAGGAAATAGGCTAATCTTTGGTAATTTGATTCAGTTTTGGTTGCTATCATCGAAGAGAATCATAGATAATTGATGATCAACTGAAGATACTCATATTTGATCTTCTTTTTGAGTTTAGATAAAATCAAATAGCGATGCAATGAAAACGTCTGATTTCAATTTCTTTCGTCAAAATTTGAATTCTTTCAAATATATTCACATAAACCGATTGGCTTTAGTGCATGTAAGACATGCAGTGTTTCGTGTTCACACAAGTATTGCCAGAAGACACTGAGTACGCATGGCAGTATACTCGCTAGACGTAGATACTGTGATGCATGTGGTAGCACGGAGTGTATCTGTGTATGCAAGCACCACAGCTGCATGGTCTAGCATCGATGGTTAATAATTCAACTCATGTCCCCAATCTGGTGCATTTTAGGGCAGTTCTCCAATCCTACACTTTTAAATACTCCGAAAATGCTGGACTGTGCTGTTTACACCTTGCCTAAATACTATGATTATTCAAACTTTCTTGCATACTTGCGGCTGAAACTTGAGTATGAAGTGCTACAAATGTATGCAGTTTGCTTAGATTTAAGTACTTTTGGACATGTGCGACTCTAATATTGTTTGCTTTGATTGATTTAAAATATATGGTTCAGAAAAATAGATATATCGCTGATTGTTTTTGGAAATCTAAATTCTGACAGGTGCGAATTAGAAAGAAATATACAATAAAGTTGAAATTTTTAAGAAGAAACTATCGACTCAAGCTTTGAAACACGACCAAATGACAGACGAATAGCTCACTAAGAATCAGTCGGTATAAAATAAAAGTATACTTTCACAAAGGAGGCACAATAGTAAAAATATAACCATTAATTGATCACTCGTGTACACAGTAGTGTCAAATCTGAAACTTGAATTCAATTGAACTTTCAACATTCAACTTTCAACTTCCAACTTTCAAGTTTCAAGTCGTTTCGCGATCGGTCCTTTTCTGGGCAGTCCTTTCGCGGCACCCACACCAGCTGCGATGTGATATGTGTCGTTTCGTGGCCAGCCCTTTCGCCGCACCGTCACCAGCTGCGATGATGTGTGTGTGAGAATGCGGGTTAGTGGTGATTCTTTACAGTGCTGCCCATTTGAGGCTTGAAAGTTGAAAGTTGAAAGTTGAAACTTCAATTGAATTCAAGTTTCAAGTTCGACATATATGATAATTAACAGCCACACTTTACATTTTATATTTTGATCTCTTAATAAATTTTATTAAAAAAAAACGATGTACCATAAGATACAGTGTGAAAAATTCTAAAACGTAAGCTTCTTTTAATTGTGTACTTTTTCTTTCAAAATAAGCAAGAACCTGTAAAGCTAATTTTCGATACTGCGAACAAGATCATTATTTTTGGGACAGGATGAATTTGTTCATCAATTAATTAGTCATTTTTTTAACCTGTTCAAGTGTTTATTTTTGGTAATAACATCCTGCACGTAATTATCTAGAACATTGAGAACAGAATTATTTAATAGTTATTCGTGATTGTCTATAAAGTGTTGTTATCTAGGAGCTGTTCGTCTTCATTATCTGCCTTCAATGTTTGTTTAGTTTTGCTGGAAAAATAATTTGGAAGAGTTCTCTGTTATTACACTTTTGCTATTATCTTGTAGGGATGATTTGGTCATTTAGTTTCTCTCTGTAAGGATAGCAATTCTTACAAAGTAAATTCAAATTAATTTGTCATTACTACAAGATCGTAATGATTGAGAACCCTTGCAAACTAAGTCTACGGGTAGAACTATTTTCTCTAGTAATTTACTCAGTTCCGCACTCTCACGCATAACAGTGAGTTAAGTATCCTAAACCAACGCTAGACCATAAAAAGCGCTTATCTCTACGCGTTCATAAAATATTAAAGAGTTTAACGAAAATAAAATTTTTAATGCACTAGGATAATCTCATCAAATCGGCAAAATATTTTCATAACGATGTTCGATTTCTGATAGTTCGTTCTCCGAGGTAGATGAGAGTGGTTTGTGTGTGGGACATTCTGAGTGGAGGCGTGAGGTAGAAAATTTACTCCTCGCTCTTACATTCATGTACACATATATATCTTCATACAGTTTGAGATACATCACCGACCCTAATCCCGGTAAATCATTTATGATTGATTACTGCATTACTGTGAAGTAAAATCCAGATTAGAATTTAGATCTTTAATAGTATCAACCATTCTTAACAGGAAAAAATCTACGAATCCGATAAAAATTTGGATTTCATTCCATGAGAATTTGATTCTTAGTTACAAACATTTCATTAGAAATTTTTATCTAATAAAACTCGACATTTTCATAATGTACAATCGGCATTTATGTTAATTATGGGTCACCCATTATTTGATTTGATTCTCAAGACATGATAATTAAACCGAGATATATCTCAATAACTGTCCTATTTCTTTAAAATATACGAATAGATCATTTAATGACAATGTCTTTTAACACATTATAAAATGAAAACAACCAAATATGCTTTGTTTTTGTGCTCTCTAGTGTCGCATATGTTGTTCTATATTTTCATCATCATTTAGATGTCTACAATCTGTTTTTCATATTGCGGCGACTGCAGTCGTAGCTGATTCTTTCAGCAAATACTGACGGCAATGGTGGTGATGCAACTGAACCATTAGAGAATATTGATGGTAGTGACAGCTCAACGATTGGTTTACATCTCTATCCATCAACACGTTACTTCTCTCAAATAATGTCTTTGAATTTATAACTAATCGAAAATCGACTCTCCAAGCAAAGAAATACAAAAACAAAGTGCATGCTTTTACACATCCACAGCTCAAATTTTAATACGTTAAAGCATGCGCTTTTTACGTGTAAAAACAAAGAATTTTTCATCACTTCTCTGATGGTGTGATGCGATTCAATACTCAAATTGCGCGCTACAAATAAATCAAAATATTTTAACCTTGATGCTTTGATGATGTAAACTTTATAAAAATGTGTCTGAAGGACATAATGTGAATATGCCAAGCAGTGTATAATAAATACACACAATCTAAAATTGCTTTTCATCATATATAAACGTATTCTGAATGAACGATCAATGAATATTTGTTGATTTACTTCATTCATATTTGCATAAGATATTATTCATTAAAGATAAAATACAATCTTTTCAATTTTAATATAGTTTATGCAGAAAAACTTCAGCAAATTAATTTGAAAAAAAAAAGTAAAAGATTTTATTTTCAAATGAGATCCTTGTTGAAACTTTAAGTGTATTTAATCAGATCGTAGGCAAACATTAAAAAGTATTCTAGATTGTAAGTATATATTATTTTTCATTTCATTAGAACAACACCCAAATTTTACTGTAACATTATCGGAAAGAAATACCAGACCCGTCAAAGTATGTTTGACCATTTTAAAAAAAAAGACGATGTTGTCTGTACAAGTGAGAAACACAACAAGTATTGAGAAAAGAAAAAGAAAACATCATTTACCTTCTTACTTAATAAAAAACCTTCGGCATTCAAAGCATTTTTTTACCAACGTAATTGAATTTGCGTCTGCTAGTCAAGCATAAATATTACTATATATTTTTTCAATCGAATACTCAATTTTATTCATTAACTGTTGGCATAAAAAACACATGAATGGAATACAGAATTCTCGAACAGTATCACTTAAGAAGAAGAAAGGCGAAACCTTCGGATTTTCACTTCATCGTGCCATTGGTAAGAATTGATATAATCATAAGCTATGTAGTGATGTATTTTATTCTAGAGGATGGCGCTGAGTTTCGACATGCTGAAGGTTTACCAACTTTGCAAAAAATTATCAAAGTATTGGAAAATGGTCACGCTCATAAAGCTTTTTTGCGAAATGATGATCGTTTAATTGAAGTGATAGAATTAGAATTTACCATAATTTTCAATAAATTCTGTATTTTTTTCTTATAGATCAATGGTCAAGATGTGAAATCGAAATCTTATGCAGAATGCGTACAACTTATTCAAAATTCTGGAGACACATTAACAATCGAAGTAATTCATTTGTCCAAAGAAAATGATATGAGTCCATCTCTTAAACCATCTATTAAAGTTACTGGTATGTTATACACTAATCTATCATTTCTAAGTAAAATAAAAAAAAAACGAAGGTATGAAATAAATATTTTTGATAGTCACTTTTGGAAATTATCAATGTATCTTCATGTAATCAAATTTGAACTATCTGTCGAAACTTTCTAACAACACTAAAAGAAAAAAATCAAAGACTTCTACTATTTCAAGATTAATTCACAGAAATTATCAATGGAATAGTCAGATGTGTTGTCTTAAGTACTTTAATTGATTGTATTGAAAAATAGTAAATATCCAATGAACATTCGATTGAATTCGAAGTTTTCATACTTTTCTTTGACTGTGCTTTTTATTAGTTTCTACGAAGTTATGTATGTGTACCATTGTGTATATTCTTTTCATCAACTCACAACTACACTGATACTCACACTGTAATGATGAAAATACTACTATCATCAAAGTAACACATCTCGTTGTCGATCTTTAATTTCTACTTTTCAGTTTTTTGCCATCGATTTGTTTTTTTTTTAAATAAAAAATCCATCATTAGAGATTTATCATGGCTTCGTTTCCTAGCAACTCATAGACTACATCATATGAGAATTTGATTGCGATTATGACATGTTGTATAAGTGTGACAGCTTAGTACCATTGATCAAAACTTTTCTCAGCATTTTTATGTCTTATGCTCTATGTCAAAATTACAGTTCACGCGAGAAAGTAATTCCATGATATATAAATAAAAGAGCTACTGGTGTGTTTTCAAATTAGGTAGATTTATCCACTTCTTAAACTATTCTTTCGATTGCATATAATATATTTCAAAGGAATCGAAAGAAAGTTTCAATTTGGAAGAATCAGTATACAATCTTAGCCTTATTTTCAAACTTATACTCGAAAGAGAACGAAGTGTTGATTCTCATATATAGATTTCGATTAGACTACAACTTCTTCATGTATACTAAAAATAAACAAATAGTTCGTCAGTCGAAAATTTGTACTGATTTTTAATATATATTTTGCAAGAATTTACTATTATTTATTCTTTAGTCGAACCCAGCCTAGAAAAGCAAAGTTTTAACATCAATATTCCTGACTTTTTAAAACCATATTGTTGTATCTATTCTATCAAAGTTGATTATAATGATTCTTCAATTATTCAATGTTTCGAAACCTTTAAACCTCATTGTGAAAATCCAGAAGGTTCGTTGCATCCCACATTCAATACCATTGCCAATAACCCACTGGACGTCAATATACTTTCTCTAATTTTGAGCAATCAAATACCATCAGCTGAATATTTAACCGCATATGTTGTTGATAGTCTTAAACGATATCATGATCTGAATGACATAATCGTTCTTCTCTCTGAAACTCTTGAGTTATTAGCTGAAAATAATACTGACAATAAATATGAAATGCTCGTCGATCAACTAACCAAAAGAATGTTATTAGTTCAGACTCTTGAGAATATATCTTATGATAGTCAACGTTTTCTATGCAATTTCATTCGAAAAAATGATTTACCTATTCCATTATCATATCAATTTTGGAATTCAACGAAAAAAGTAATGTAGTAAGTATTTAGAATTTTTCTTATCTTATTATTATAATGATTAGATTCTATCGTAAATAAATTATATAAAATCCTTGATCTCTAATCAAATATTGGAAAAAAATTAAATAAATACTTTGAAATTTATGAGTAACAGTGTCGATCTCACGAGGAAACGTTCCGAGGTGCTAAAAAGCTTTTGAGCCCAAATTTTGTCCATAAGTAGGGAATATATAGACTAGAAAAAGCCTAAGAGGATATGGGCCCAAATTGAAATTTCGCTGAGATATCGACTTTTTACTAGAATTTGCCTATGGGACCCTATTTTTCCCATGAAATCAAAGTTTCGAGTTTTGACGTGAAACTTTGGCCTCATTAGGATCCGGAAT